CTGCTGCTGGTCTGGGCACCCCCTTTGAGAACCACTGCCCTGGATGATCCATTGCAGCTCCTGATCCCTCTGACCTCTTCTTCTACCTCTTTGGATATGCCATCTGCCTGCTTCTCTTTAAAGAGGACAGATCTATGCCTACCTCTGAGGTGTTTTATCTTCTTTTCCCTCAGTCTGGAATTATCTTCCTTCAGGTACATGCACGGCCTGCTCCTTCACTTGTGTGGCCCCCATGCACCCTTTTCCTGTCACTCACATCCTTGTGAGTCCAACCCCCTACTGCCAGGATTGGTCTGTGTGTCCAGTAGAATTTGGCAGTCACAATGGAGCATCACTTCTGGGACTAGGTTAGAAAAGACAGCATGGCTTCACTGCTCTCCCAGCCCATGCCCTCTCGGGGCAGGCAACTGCCAGGTGTGAGCAGCCCCGCAGCAGGAACCCCTGCTCCTGCCACGTCCAATGAGCCATCTTGGAAGTGGCACCTCCAGCCCAGTCAGGCCCTCGATGATGCAAGAAGTGATGATGCACTGGCTGCAGCCTCATGGGAGAGCCTGCGCCAGAACCACCCAGCTCCACCTCTCCCGATCCCTGATTCACCCAATCTGGGGGACGATAAATGCTTGTTGACTTAAGCTGACAAGTTTGGAGTGATTTGTGATGCAGCAGTAGATAATAATAAATGTGCCTTCCTCACTGGGGCCTTCCCTAGCTGCCTGACCAAAATTGCAGCCCTTTCTAATGACACTTCTTATCCCCCTTCCCTGCCTTATTCTCTTCAGTACGTACCACCATCTGACCTGGTATGTTTTACTTACTGATTACCTGTCTCCTGGCATGACTTACTCCGTCCTACCCCATCAGAAGTATTTTAATTTTTCATTCATCGAAAATTTTGTATATTGATAGTCAAAAACTAGGAAAGCATCATGACTGAGAATGTGGGCTGAAGGAGGAGGGGGGAGTCCAATCCGTCAGACTCCATGCAGGATCTCCAGTGCAGAGAACAGTGCCAGATACTGAGTAGGCCCTCAAATAGAATGATAATTAATAATAATGTATCAGTATATAAAATCACGTATTAATACTATAATTAATACTATAACTTATTACATTAAATATTTCTCACATGTTTAGGTTATAAACATTTATTAGATCATGTAGATTAATAATGCTAATTTTGAGTGGCACACAGATCAAAGCAGCGCCGACCGCCGGCAGCTCCCAGAACTCCTGCACAGAGCTGGGGGGCATGGGTGTGTCTGGCGCACGGTGGTCTTCACCGTCAGACTGAGTCCCAGCTCTGCCATTTCTCACTGAGGCCTCAGTGTCTTCCACTAAAAATAAAAATGATAGCATCCATTTCAAGTGTTTTGTGACCTCGGAAGGGGACACCCAAGGTGGGGGGCCTTGAAGTGGGCCAGGCACAAATGGCTGTTCAGAGAATAGTAGTTTCCCATTTAACTTTAGGAAGGGGTTAGCAATATCCTGTAGCCTGAGACCCTAACTGGGCATTGATTGCAAAGCCAGGGGCCCACTAAGGAAGCGCTGATGCATGGGAGCAGATCAGAGGCTTTGCTGCTAAGTGTCCCAAGGGAGGGCAAAGCAAGACCTCCAGGTGCTAACGGCTCACTGCAGCTTGCATTCTCCTGGGGGCTGGCCGAACCCCTGGACTGGGACACTGGGGCTCCTGTGATTCTCCTGGGACTTGCCTTCCTCGTTAGGGTAGAGAACATGAGAAAGCAGCCAGGTAGTAAGCCAGCTTCCAGATGAACAGGGACAACAGCTAGAGATGGGGACAGCAGGGCTGCTGCCTGTCTAGCAAAACCTGAGTCCAGCAGATCCTCCTGATGAGGAAAACAGGGGCCAGGAGAGAAGCCACAGCTGGGACCACCAACAAACAAGGGAAAGGAAGAAACAAGAGGGGGGGAGCAGAGAGAATGAGAAACCCAAAAAGAGGAGTATAAAAAAACAAAGAAGCAAAAAAGAAGCTACAATAGGAATCTCAGATTCCAGCCCATGCTGGTACCTATGGTTATTTCACCTGGTAGCCACTAGGGGCAGCAGACAGCCACTCCACAGCCAAGGAATGGACCAATCAGGAGTGGGAGTTCACCGGTGGGTGTGGTAGGGGGCTGCTTACAGGTGAGCCGAAAGCAAATCACTATGACCAGTGGCTTAGGTCCAGCAGCTTGTGGCTTTCCTGCTAGAAGCCAATACCTCTAGTCCAGGCAGGATACAGTCTTAACTAGGAGAAATAAAGTCCGAAAGTGACTGTTGAAAATGAAAACTCCCACTTCATGTGCTATTTTATTATTAATATTACTATTGTTGTTGTTATCTTAAGGAGGGAGGGCACCTCTGTGGTCTGAAAGCTAGGCATACATCACTTCCCACCTTTCAAGTGTACTCTCTTTTCATAAGTTTTGTTGTACGTGGAGTAGCCACGTAATCCACTGATGGGGAAATTACAATTTCTGGCCTGCACCTCGGTGGCTGGAGTAGCAGCCTCCCTTAGGCTGGCTTGGCCCACAGGCAGTTCATTTGTGTGTGTTGGGCTCCCCTGGTTTCAGTGGAAGAGGTCCGAGCTGAGTTGGAGTTGCCTTTAGGAAAAAACATGTTTCTCCTGACTTGGGTTGGATGAAGCTCCAACATCTCACTTCTTCCACTCACCTTACCTTGTCCCTAGAGCCCCTGGGGCCTGCATGGCAGTGACTCTGTTAGGAGTCTGGATCATTACCTGGGATGACCTAGAACCCCAGGGGTAGAACCCCAGAGAAGGCAAAAGGGCCTCAGTCCAGAGGAACATGGGCCCCGAGCTACCCCTGCAGTTTTGCTTGGGCTTGGTCAGGGGCCTAGTGTGCTATAAACAGGTAGGTTATTGGGAAAAAACCTGGATGTGTCTTCCTTCCTGTGGGCGGTATGGTCATCAGGGCTGATGGTTCCTGCCACTGGTGAGGTCACTCAGCTAGAGGCCCAGTAGCCCTTTCCAGCTGTCTGCCTGGCCAGGCCTCACTCTGCCCCAGGCTTGAGGTGGCTTTGTGTTTTATTTCATTTATTTTAATTTTTTTACAATTTTTATTTATTTGTTTTTAGAGAGAGAGGAAGGGAAGGAGAAAGAGAGGAACATCAATGTGTGGTTGCCTCTCACACACCTCCCTAGTGGGGACCTGGCCCACAACCCAGGCATGTGCCCTGACTGGGAATCAAACTGACAACCCTTCGGTCCACAGGCCTGCACTTAATCTACTGTGCCACACCAGTCAGGGTAGCTTTGTGTTTTAGATTGGCCAGAATGCCAGGACTGGGAGATGGACAGGGACAAACCCTTCGGGCAGCTGCATTGTCTGTGCTGGAGCCCTGGAGGGTCTCCAGTTCTTGGTGTCTGAGTGCCAGTCAGCACATCCTTCCCCCTTGGGGAAGTCGCTGAGCCTGCTCTTCTGTCACTCCTCATAGAAGATCCCATCGTTCTCTTGTTCCCAGTCATGCTCTCCCTGCTGCTTCCCTCACTTGCCCTCCATTCTGTTTTTTTTTTCCCTTGTGAAAGGGAATGCGAAGGGGAAAAGGTCCACATTACCACCCAACTCCTAGAGCCGTAAGCTCCTTAAACCCAAAAAGTGGTTTGGAAGATTTTAAGATCATCCATCAAATCTACAGGGCAGGAGTATTGAGGCCTAAAAGAGCAGTCCCAACCCCTTCTTTTTGGATTAAGAGTTGGAGGACCAGAGAGGGAGAGTATCTTGCCCCAGGCTGCACAGCAGATTAGAGGCAGAGCTGAGGCAAAACCCCAGTTGTTTTGATCATAATTGAGTGAAGCCATTGAAAAAGTTTTTCCAATTTTTATTTTAAATATTTGAGATAAATATTAGAATTATTTGATTAATGTTATATTCATACACTGGGCAAACTTTAAAAATAGCTTTATGCTAAATACTTGTATATGGGCATTTGGCCTGAAGACAATGACTGCCTTGGGTAGACAGCGGTATCGATCTCTTTTACAGAGAGAGAAACTGAGGCACTGAGAGCACTTGGACAGGGGTACACTGGTGATAAGAGGCAGAGCTGGGATTCAAACCTAGGCAGTCTAGCTCGAGACATTCTGCTATTAATGGATTCTTTCCTCTACTATCCAGCACCTTTAATGATTTTGGAAAGACACTCCCAAAAGTCTCTGTGAAAAGAACATACAGTATTATCTTCTTCTCTTTTAAATGTGTGTGTATGTGTGTAAAACAAGTTGACATATAGATACCAAAGTGTTGGTAGTGACAACTTCCAAGCTGCGTGATTGTGGGTAAGACTACTTTTCTTCTTGTGCTTCCTATAGCACCCAGTGTTACATGATAAGATAATTTTATGAGAAAGTCTGTTCACAGTGGTGAGATGGGTAGAGCAGCGTGTGGGGGACAGTGCTACTGCTGCAGTGTGAGCTTTCCTTTGGGCTGGATCAGGCAGCTGGGCCCAGAAGAGGGGGCCAGTCAGATGCAGTGGTCGTGAATCAAACAAGACGGGGAACGGGCTTTGGAAATCACCCCCTTTGGCAGAGGACCATGTCTCCGTACAGACCCCCTAGGCCTGTGCTCTTTCCTCTGTGCTTCAGGGTTTGCGGCGACAGTGGCATCCAGGGAGAAATGCCCAGTTGACAGCCAGAGTTCCAGGACCAGAGACAGAAGGGCTCCAGGACGGCCCTGAGTCGGCTGCCGGCCTCTGGGGATGAGGGAGGGAGGGGCACTGGGAAAGGGTTTGGGGGTCCCAGATGGGAGCCACCTCCTTCTGGTCCCTATGGCATGCAGAAGGGTCCCCAGCAGAGAGAAGTTCTGTTGTCATGGGAGGTGGGGAGGGTGAGGGAGCAGAAAGAACTCCCAGTTCCTGGGTTTGGGGAGGAAGGAGACTGGCCAAGACTGTTTTCTCCAGCTCTGATCGTCTAGTTCTGCTCTGTGACCCTCAGAGCTTCTACCTTATGAAATTCTGAATGCGATCTTGTTTCTTCCTTTGACCAGAGACCACCTGGGAACGCCCCAGCAGCTCTCCGGGGATCCCAGCCAGCCCTGGCACTCATAGGAGCTCTCTGCCTCCAACAGGTACTGTTCGCCTACCCCTTTGGGGCAGCTGGGAGGGGCCTCACACCCACCTTCACTGGAAGGGTCAATGCTGTGGATCCTGGGGTCTGAAACCTGGCTGGTGATATTATGAACCCAACCCAGGAGGGGCCTGGATGGGTAGAAGGCCCCATAAGCCCATTGCCCCTCCAGTAGTATTGCCCTGGTAGTGCTGGCAGCAACCTGGTAGCTCACCCTCACTCCCACTCAGGTGCTTAAGGAGAGTCCTCTGGGTGAGGTGAGACACTAGAACTCTTACCTGTCTGCCAGTGCAGGGGCCTGAAGCAGGAACAAAACTGCTCCACATGGTTCCCAAAGGCTTCAAGGAGTAGAAATTAAAGGGAGGCAAATTTTTCTAGAGCTACCTTCATGCAGAACATTTTGGAAAGGAAATGGGATTCCTTGTGAGGGTATGAGTCCGTCAGAAGAGGTACCACAGGGAAGGGGTCGAGATAAATATTCCTGTAATAGGTGTGATGTTTGTTACTCTTAGGAGACACTGGGTTCTGAGATCCCAGGAGATCAATTGTAAGTCACGCCAGTGGGGAAAACAGCTTCTGACTTCTTGTGGTTTACGCCTTGTTTTAAATGTCACCTCCTCCAAGAAGCCTTCCCTGACCACTCAATTCAGCTCCCTCACCTAATGACTGGATCCCAGCAGCGTGCTATTTCATTGCCCTTAGCGAGTCATTCTCCACAGTAGACTACACGCTTCCAGAGGGTGGGGATTTGACCTCTACTTTTTCTTTAGGGAATCCTTTAAGGAATCCTCAGTCCCCAGACAGAGCCTGGCTCCAGCAGTGAGTAAATTCATAGACATCTTCACAATCACATGGGTTTTAACCCCATTTGTTGGTTTTCCACTTTAGGTGTCAACTAGGATGATTATGGGTGTACCTCGGAATTTAAATGTTGGTAACTTCGAACATGTGCAGATGGTTGTAGCTGGATAGAGGGGGGAGGTATGCAGGATGGAGGGGCAGAAGCAGCAGTGACATCCTCAGCTCTCGGCGGCAGGGGTGAGGGACAGAGGGGAGCTGAGAGATTCCTTAATCTTCGTGGAATTCAGAGTCCTCAAAGAGTTAATACTGTACCTGACACATCTTGGTCATCAAAAGAAGAACTAAAATAATAAAAATAAATCAAAAATAAAAACTAACTAGAATCTGAAATTCTGGATCAAAGGAAGGGAGGGTGGATGCAGTGAGAGTGGGCTAGACCCCCATCTACAGAGTGGGAGTCTTTTAGACCGGGGTCCCCAACCCCTGAGCCACGGACCAGTTGTAGTCTGTGGTTTTAGGTATGGGGCTGCACAGCAGGAGGTGAGCGGTGGGTGAGTGAGCAAGCAAAGCTTCATCTGTATTTACAGCTGCTCCCCATCACTCACATTACCACCTGAGATCCACCTCCTGTCAGATCAGGGAGGCATTAGATTCTCATTGGAGCACAAACTCTACAGTCATCTGCGTATACAAAGGATCTAGGTTGTGTGCTCCTTCTGAGGACCTAATGCCTGAGGTCTGAGGTGGAGCTAAGGTGGTGATGCTAGCGTTGGGGAGGGGCTGCAAGTACAGATTACCATTGGCAGAGAGGTTTGACTGCTTGCAGAGTCATATCAAAACCCTATCAGTGAGTGGCCAGTGATGATTAAGCTGCATCTGGTGGCAGGCTATAAAGCCACCCCCGACCCTGGTCTATGGAAAAACTGTCTTCCACAAAACCAGCCCCTGGAGCCAAAAAGGCTGGGTGCCACTGTTTTAGACGTTCTCCACCACTGATGCATGAAGAAATCAAAGTGTGATCAAAGGACATATTTAGGGATATGAAGGTCACCAGAGTGGAATTCAAAACTGAATTGAGGGACAGACCAAACTCTGGAGGATCAGCTGAGGCACAGGAGAGGGGATGGATAGAGCTTTCCATGGGAAGTTCAGCTAGGCTTTTCACTTTTTAAAATATATGTATATGTTTTTTAACTTAAAAACAGATTTTTTTAAAAAAAAAAGGAATTGCCTAGTGGGGAAGGGAAATGGGGCATTTACTCCCAATTCCCCAGGCACCAGGTGGGTGCTGCATTAGCAGTGATCAGATCGAGTCCCCAGAAACAGGCCCATCCTGTCCTTCTCCCTGTTGTTGGACAACAAGCAGTCCCGGGCACACTGCCTTCTATTTTGGGGTGTGTGTGTGTGTGTGTGTTTTAATAAGAGAATGCCAGTGTGAGTAATGTGAGGTGTAGCCTTCTGTCCTAGCTGGCTCCAGGCCAGCCAGACATGAGAAAGAAACCCAGCTGTCTCTTCTAGCCAGAGTGGTCCCTGAAGTAGGACAGGATGGGGACATGGGCACTGGAGGCTTGGGCGTGGAGCGATGACAGGTGTGAACTGCCACAGCCAGCCGTGCTGGGGGTCTGGTCAGGGTGCTTGCCCTCTGCGTGGCAGCAGCCACCTCTCTGAAGCCTGCCCTCCCCAGGCAGCATCCTGTCCCTTTCCCACCGTTTGTGGCTTTTGTTCCCCAGAAGGAGGGCTGGGAGGCACTGGCTCAGACCCCCTGGCCCAAGGCCTGGGTGCAACACATGCCTGCCTTCACCAACAAGCACGTAGGACCCCGTCTGCCCAGCACTGAGCTGGGTGCTGGGGCTTCAAGTGTGGCCAATAAAGGTGGGGAGGCAGGTGGAGAAGGTCAGGGTCAGCGATGGGACCTGGCGGTGGCCACAGTGTTAAAGTGCATGGACACCGATTTGCCCTCCTCTGTTCCCCCTCCAGGGGGAAAGTCAGGGGCGGGGCGGTCAGGGGTTCGGTCTACCAGGTTCTCTGCCAGAAAGGGCTTTGCAGTCGAATGTGGCCAGAAACCTGCTCTTCTCCACTTTGGAGGTTCACCATGCACATCAGCATTCTGAAGGCTCAGAGAGGGCTTGAAAGGAGACACCTGTCTGACTTGATGCCTCTGTCTCTTTGTTAGTTTGCAGTATACATACAGTGGTCCCCCCACCAAACCCGTGAAAGACATGTTCCAAGACCCCTAGTGAAGGCCTGAAACTGGATATAGCACCAAATCCTGTAGATACTATGATAGTTTAATTTGTAAATTAGGCACAGTCAGGGATTAACGACAAAACCTAAAAATAACATAGAACAATTATAGCAATATATTGATATAAAAGTTACAGGAATGTGGCATCGTTAAGGAAAATACGGGCTCCTTGAGCACGAGCACTGCAGTGCCTCCACAGTGACCCGACCACCGAGAGCGCTACTCAGCAACTGAGTGGCGGGGCGCCAGCACCACGTGGAGACGCTGGCAGAGGGAGGGTCCGCGGAGCAGGGCGGGCAAGAGCTCATTGTGATACTCAGAAAGTCAAGCAATTTAAAATGACGAATTGTTTATTTCTGGAATTTTCCATTTAATGTTTTTGGATTTCAGTTGACCACGGGTAACTGAAACCGTGGAAATAAAACCGCGGTGAGAGGGACCCCTGTATGTGCTTGGTAAGCTTCTCTAGTGCAGGGGGTCTCAGCTCTGGGGGATGGGCCTAACAGGGGACATTTGACAATGTCCGTCATCTCTGGTAGCTACCATGCAGGGGAAGTGCTGCAGGCCTCCAGCGGGTCCGGGCCAAGGATGCCGCTAATGTTCCACCTCGCCGAGGGCAGCACAGCCCCCTGAGCCCTCCGCCAGGCATTATCCAGCCCCGGTGTCTACAATGCCAGGGTGGCGAGGCCGGGTTCTAGGGTGACTCGGAACACCAGGTTGACACTGCTCAAGGGTCACTGGGCGACAGACGATGGCCCGTGGAAATGAGGAGTGGCAGAGACCATGCAGAACGCCGCTCTTCGGGTCTGAGACCCGCCTTTCATTTTTCCCCCCGCATTTGAATGCAGGGGTGGGCAAAGTAGGTTTACGGTTGTGAGCACATGAAACACAGAATTTATTCTTGTATTATAATTTATTAGTTCTTGTATTATTTTCCATATGAACAACCGTTCAAGTATGAACATATGTTCAAACCTACTTTTGCCCCATCCCTGTATCTTGGAAGTCAGGTGCACCCTGCAGTCCGTGGTGCATCCCGGTTTAATTAGAAGCGTCTTTTTTTTTCTTTCTCCATGTGCTTAAAATAAGGGTGCTTCCCTGTCAGTGCTGTCTCAGATTTGCGAAGTTACAACTTGTTAGACTAGGGCCTCCGTCACCGCGCGTCTCCTCACCAGGCTTCACTCTGCGGGCTCCCGGAGAGCCTGAAGGAAGGTCCCTCCGCGGCCTTTGATTGGGGTTGCTCTCCGCTCTCCGCTCTCCGCTCTCCGCTCTCCGCCCAGGGGCACGAACACACGCCAGCTCTCCATCCGCTCTCTGGGGTGTAAGGGAAGAAGGCCCGCCCTACCCAGGATGTTTCGACATCTTCCCTAAGCTGTTTTTAACCTAAACGTCATAACAAGAATGAAGTAATAGCCACGTTGGTTTTCTCTCTACAGAGAGCACTGGGTTTTTTGCAGCCATTCTCTCATTCCATTTCGCAAGCAGCTTTCAGAAGGTTGAATTTCATTGTGGGGAGAGAAAGAGTCTCAGTGAGAACAGGAAGTTGCTTACAAAGAGCGCTGTCTAATCCTCATGGTCCTGAGGTTACTGACCCCTCTCCCGGAGGCCACTCAGGGCCCTGGATCCAGCTGCTTTTGTTCGGCTTATGCTTCGCAAGCAGCAGTGATGGCATTTCAAACCTTTTCATTCAAAAAATGTGCCAGGTGCTGTTCTCTGTCCTGGGGAGGTAGCCACAGACGAGCCAGGCCTGTATGGTCCCCACTCCCAGGAACCTCCATCTAGTGGGGGCGATGGACAAACCAGCACACGTGAAATACGCCAGGTTTCCCTTGTATTTCCAGTGCGAGGAATGAGAACAGGGCGGAGGGCCTGCAGAGTTGGGGAAGGTGCCAGGAAGGAAGCGAGAGCACAGGGGAAGCTTTGAAGACAGTGAGATGAGTAGGCATCAGATGAGT